CAACTAGGTCCATTTTGTCATTATACAATTATATCATTTTTACATTAAAATTTACCAAACGCTTTTACATTGTTTTTCATACTCACAACACTTATAAAATACAGTTAACCAAACGCTCATCTGCTTTACTTTGCTTTACTTTACAGTTGATTATTCTTAAAGTACAGCAGAAGTAGTTTTTTAAAAAAACACAGCAATCCCAAACTGGCCCTAAGTACCATACCCTTTTTAGTCATTTAACATATTCAAAGCAATTTATATAAAAGTTTACCAAATACTCTCACATTGCTTTTTTTGTTTTTTTATTAAAAGAACTTTTACAAAAAAAATTTACCAAACACTCAACTACTTTATTTTACAGTTGTTTATTTCCAGCACATCAGAAGCAGTCTTTTTTAAAAAGCACAATAATACCAAGCTAGCCCTTAAATTTTGAAACTAAATTATAAGACATTTATATAGACTATAACATAAGAAATTAGAGTATTTTAGTATATGACTTACAAAAAAAATGAAAAAGTAAATCACTTGCGAACATGTTTATGCTTGAGGTATCATATTTGATTATTATGTTCTGTTTTATGTCAATATGTTGCCTGTTTATATCATGACACTATTTTCTAACAACTCATGACAATTTGATTTAGGTTTGCTATTCACATATTTTTTTTTTTTACCTCTCACACACCTTCTCAATTTTTGACTATTAAATTAGATAAATTAAAAATCAAAAGACATAAATTAAAAGTAACGTGTGAGAGATTAAAAAATAAGTGTATCAATAAAACCACTCAGTAATGAAGCCCCATTGTTTACTTAATTTAAAAAGAATTAGTTACAGTATGGTACAAACATACATATTAGATATTTAGTTGTCAATTTCGGAGAATTATTGTTCTAATTTCCGTCGTATAGGTCGCATTTGGTACGCGGGACGGGACGGAACAGAGTGGGACGAGGCGTTCCGTCCCGCGTTTGGTGCGCCTAAAATGAGTGGAACGCGCTGTTCCACGGAACAGATTTTGGATGATTTTTTGTTCCACACCCCCACCCTGGAACGGGTTGTTCCACGTCTGTGGGACAGAAATTTCCAATATTTTTAGACAAAAATGCCCTTGGTCTTTTTCAAAATTTACAACTTCAAAATCAGTTTACAAACCCTAAAAACAAAATCTCTTCTTCTCAGCCGTTTCTCTTCACCTCTACATCCCTTTCCCCTTCGCAACACCTTCCTGCTCATCTTCTTCTGTGCAGCCTCACAACCTTCCTCCTCGTCCCCTTCGCAACCTTCCTCCTCGTCCTCTTCCGTGTAGCAGCTCTGCGAACTTGGTGGTCCTCAGGTATCTCTCTCTCTCTCTCTCTCTCCTCTGTATTTTTGGGTAACTTGAATGTTTGAATTGGTGATCACAAAATCAAGATTTGTTTGTCAGTTACAGTATTAATAAGTGCCTGATTTCATTTGTAAACTATTTCTGTTTACAATAAATATGGATTGGTAATTATTGGATTTATGGATTCGTAGTTTATTTCCCAGCTGAATTAGATAATTTTGGTTTTGATTATTTATGTTGGTTGGTTTGCTTTAAGAAAATTGTTTTATTATTTAATTAGTAGTCGATTCTAATTTGGAGAAAATCTTGTGATAGGGTTATTTGGATAATAATTGATTTTAGGTTCTGGGTTATTTATGTTGGTTGGTTTGCTTTAAGAAAATTGTTTTATTATTTAATTAGTAGTCGATTCTAATTGATTTTAGGTTCTGGGTTTCTCTCAGATTTGAATATTTTTATGGGTTTGCGATTTGAACGGAGGATTTGCATTTTGGGTTGCAGACCCGGTGCCTCGGGGCAGACGGTGGTAACTCCCTCCCCTCTCAAAAATCTCTGATCGAAGGTACGATTTTCATTTTAATTTCGAATTATTGAACCCGTTTGCTTTCCTTTTTGGTAGGTTAACGAAGTTAAACAATGAATCATAATCAAACTTTTGTTTTATCATTCGTTGGCATGGTTCAGCACAGTTTATTGTCGGCTTGTTTGATATGAAAATTGTAGGAAAGGAAATGGGCTGATAGAGCATAGTGTCATGTCCTTTATTGCCTTGGTTTGAAAATACTGAAGTATGTTATTATTGTTTCTTCTGTTTTATAATTCTTCATTTGATTTCCGACAAAGTGAATCATGTATTTGAATAAGATTACTTCATTTCTTAAAAAAACTGTAGGTTTTAAAATCTTCAACTTGGATACAAGATTTAATATAACATGAGCACTCGGGGGGCCAGGGCGCCACATGCAAGAGGGCGGCGAAGAAAGAATGAGTTGAACTTGGACCTCAATAGTGCCCCACCTGGTGACAGTCGGGAACAGGAGGGAACTTCAACTCAGTCAGTGCCTCAGAATAATCAAGCGACTTTGCAAGTTCAGCCCATACCACCTAATACGATTGATGTTGAGGCTATTGATGATGATGTTATTGAATCCAGCCCCACGGCTTTTGCTGAGGCATGCTTATATTAATTTTACACATTCTTTTATTGCGAATTTCTCCATCCACTTAAGTGTATTGAAGAAAATGTTGTGATATTTTATGTTTTGCAATTTTTCAACTGTATTAAATCATCTATTCTATATGGTGGTCTAGTGAAAGAACTTTGAGTTAGAATCCCAACCTGCATCCATTTGATTCGAGACCTAGTTAAAACTTCTTTTCTCTTTCTTTCAATTTGTTAATACACTCTATAAAGGCCTTAATCTGCTCACCATGTTCCTCCCAATTATCATGGAGGCAACCCAAATAATGCATTAGATGATCAATTTCCTCCCTTCCTCTGTTAAATTTTCTTCTACTCCATTTCATCAAATTTTCACTAGAAGAGTTTAATTCTCGTTGCCATTTCTCCAACCATCCACACCTACTTTGAATACTCCAGCTCTCTTCAATAATTTATTATGATTTTATGTAAATTATTTATTTCCTTAGTGATAGGATTGTAACATCTTATAAATCCATCCTTACAACAACCCACAATTGAAAGGACCAAAATTAGGGACTAAAAATTGAATTGGGGTGTGGGTTTTGCAATTTGCACAATAAAATTTGATGGGTTTGTGGTGAAAATTCGAATGGAGGTGTAGAAAACGGGAAAAATTACAAATTTTAAAGGGGTTTGCATGTGAAACACAACATATACCTATTAAAATTTGGACCAAGAAAAACAAATAATGGATAATAGTGTTCAAATTTGAACAACTTATTAAAATTAAAAAAAAAAAAAAAAAAAAAGTCATGTCCCGTTCCGCCCATAAAATTGTACCAAACAACAGCGGAACATGGGTATTTTAGTTATTTTAATCTTTTGGTTCCGTTCCGTCCATGTGCTACCAAACGCAGGACGGAACAACCGTCTTGTTCCGTCCTGCGCGTACCAAACATAACACAGAACATCTGTTCCGTCCCGTCCCGTCCCGTTCCGTTCCGTCCCGTCCCGTCCCGTCTGCGTACCAAACGCTACCATAGGGCATGCCGACCTAACGGCTTTTGTAGAGGGATGGAGACTTTGTAGACGGCTTACAATTGTTAACTTCAAAACTAATTTCTAACTGTTTTTTGTATTCATTTAAATATCTATTAAAAATTGGAAATGATAGAAACGAAAACGAAATATGAAAATGCAATGAGAATCCAAGGAAAAAGTCCATGGACTCTACAAGAAGTATAAAAATATGATCGAGATATTTTGAATTACTCTAATTTTCGAGAATGAGACTTGAACTTGTGTGCAAGACGACGACGAGGAGCACACTGCCTAATCAACTCGAATATACATCGTGAGACATAGACCTAGATACCTACGTAAACAAATATATATGAGGCAGGGCTTTGATTCTAAAGAAGTGTGTTTCTTGAGCTTCATCCATTAAGGTTTTTGCACACTGTTATTTCACTTCCACACACCCCTCCTTTTTCTAGTTATTGGATTGAACAAACCGAAGGAGATTCAAAGGCCGGAATTAAAAAGAGCATGCAAGAGGTGAAAATTGGTGTGCAGAAATCCAAACATGACCAAAACAGAGAAGAAAACGCTTCCTATAATGTTTTGGGGGAAGAATACACAAATGTCAAGTTACATGCTATGCAAGACACATCTAAACATTCAAGTTCGGTATTCATCTACAACAACAAAGCCTTATCCCACAAAGCCAGAATTTGGTATTCATCTACAGAAAGAAAACATTTTCTCACTAGTTTGATTCTCAAATTGTTTCAAGTAATATGGTTTCATATCGCAAAAGTCGAAGAAAAAGAAGGTAAAACTCAACAAATAGATAACAGCTGCTCATCCTGACATGATATAAAAGCTTTTCAGCATGTCAAGATTTGTAATGACATTTTCAGTATCTGAACACACCAAATTCTGACTCATATTAAGAAGCCTTGACACACCGACCAATATCTCAGAAGAAAGGGCAATCCAGAACACATAAAAACACCTTGAACATTAGGATCATCCATCTACTTTCCAACTAAAAGAACCCCCTAAGTACCTTTCATAACATGTAAATCCATTCAGACGCACACATCCTAACTTTGACGAAACAGCAAGTACAAAACATTAATCCTCTGCAACATTGGATTGGCCGGCACTGTATGGCCAGCACCGGCTGTAGAACTAAGGTGATGCACAACACCAACGTCTAAAAATGACTGGGAAACCAGTGCTGCATGATCGTATAAGGACAGATCATTTGGACATGGGGTTAAGTATAGAGAACCAATCACAGCAAGTTTGGTACCATCACATTGTAAATTGCCCGTCTGGCTAGGTAATTCGAACGATAAGAACATTGTTCCTCGGATTACTCAGCAACCAAATCAAACATATATCAAGCTATAAGCTTGATGGGAAATAGCAACTAAATCTAACAGATTGTTCATCCCTCTAATACATTTTCTTCGAAACCGAAAAGGAGCTAGTTGTAAAATACACTGAACTCATACTTTCACAAATCAAAACTGCAATTAAATATTAAAAAATAATAATAATAATTCACAACACTCAGATGGATCTCTGCCAATTCTTATACCGTGTAATTGATCAATTTCTCAGAAATCCACAATCTATTAGTACACAGATAACTAACAGAAATCACTTGCTCTTAATCAAACTTAATTAATACTAATCCACAAGAAATCAACAAATTAGGGTTTTTAATTTCTTTAATTTCACAAATCAACCTGTTCCTCCTCAGTGTGCTTTTCTCCTCTGGGGCTGCCTCTCCTTCTCAGTAGCTAATCTGTATATCCAGTACACCTAACACGATGACAAATCAGATTTTAGGCACTAATTGAAGCGAAAAATCAGGAAGAGGAAGGAAATTAGCGAGTACCAGAGCGAGGACGTGAGCTACTATTAGGAGAACCACCACGATCGGCACCAATTCGAGGAACCATGGCCGCAGAGACGCCGGCTGCGGACTCGTCATTCGATGGGAACAATGAGGTTCTAGAGAGAGAAAGATGAGAGAGAGAGATGGAGAGATGAAGCACTGCAATCAGAGAGGGATTTCGAGCTCGATAGTTTACTGAAGTTACTAGAAGACAGAGGGGAGCGTGACCGTCACAGGCAAATTGGGACGGAGCAGGCTTCGGGTCTTTTTGACCCGATTAAGTATCAAAATAAGCCCGGTTAATATTGGGCCTTGTTATTGGCCTCAAAGTCATCTTTGTCAATTAAAAGGGAATGAAAAAAGACGGATTTATATCATCTTCGGATCCCCTTACTGGGGACATAGTAACCGTTCAACAAAGATCGTGCGGCCAATATTTTTTTTTTTTTTTATATATATTTTTTTACGCAAAACGAGATTGCTTTACTTTTATAAATATTAAAAGCATTCAAATGTGGCCGCACAATCTTCTTTGATGAAAGGTTACTATGCATTGATCTCTGGAATCCCCAACGAGGGATCCAGAGAGGATCTAAATCTAAAAAATATATTGAACAAAACACTATGTCTTACTCGATAAGCCCCTCGAGACTCACACTCTAGTAAGATATTGTCGAATCTGGATCCTCGCCGGATCTTCTTTGTGAGGATCCTGGAAATTCATGAATCGTGTTCGTTCAATGTACATGGTGCGGTCAAAAATTATTTTAAATATTTTTATTTAAAATTAAACACAAATTGTAGACAAAAACTGACCGCACAATGTACGATGACCGGACACGATTCATGGATTCTTAGGATTCTGTTGGGATGTTGTCTACTTTGAGAACTAGCCCACATGGGTTCACTCTTAAGATCATCTCCAAAAGAGATGTGGAGATGTCAAATATGCTAACTAGGACTAATAGTGTTTGGGTCCAAAATAATATTATTCGGCCGAGCTTAGGTTTATGTTCGGCCCAAGGCTCTTCCAAAAATGTTATGGGCCGTCCAGTGGTCACAAGCTGCCCAATTAGGTCTGCTAAGTCCTATTGCAAGAAGGATTGATTTGGATAAGAGCAAATAAGTCGAGTCCTGATGCAACAAGAGGATTTCAGAGTTGAAGACGTTGAGATGGGAGTGAACCTGGTTCATTATGGAGCTTGGTTCAGAAACCTATTAGAACTCGGGTTGGCTGAATCCTAATCAGATTAGGCTTGGGAGTTTTGGTCTGAATACAACTCTAGTTCAGCTAGGAGTAGGTCTGCTGCTATATATATAGAGGGGAGTGCATTATTAAAGCCGTCAAATTCAACACACAAACTGCCTTGCGCAAACTCTCGCTCTACGCGGAACCTCTCAAACATCTTGAGATTTTTATTTTCTTTTCCGCCAACACATCTTCAGTTTGGATAAACAGTACTGTTGCCGTAAAATCAACCGATCCCGAAGTACCTTCAGTTTGGATAAACAACACTACGTCGAGGCTGACTGGTTACCTATCCAAGTCTCGGCTAAGAAGGATTTTCGAGTTCTTGTTAGCAGAGGTCATCTCATTAGCCTTTTCAGCGAAGTGAGGTGTTACAGATTATTAGGCTCGGCATATTGAACGTCGAGTTGTTTATGATTGGATATTCACAAGTAAGTTTTAGAGTTCGGCATTCTGACGGCTGAACTACAATCACCATTAAGACATACATCTCTTTTGAGTACTTGCGTCCGTATAGTTTGGTGTCAGTTCGACGTGCTTATACTCTTACGAATATAATCACTGTGAATGAACCCGGCGTCGATGATCCGTGAACTTCGCGAGATTAGCAGCCTTATCTTCAGGCTCTAGAACCCGAAGGCCGAGACGTGTTCTTTCCTCGACCGCAGTTGCAAGATCAAGAAGTCAGCAGCGCACTCAACACAACATCAACATATTTTACTCCTCGACCGACGAGTTGGCACGCCTCGCATCAACCGAAGGACTTAGTTAGCTCATTAGTTACTCAATATGCGCACCACGTAGGCTTGGTAGTTTTTAGGGTCAACAAATAGATATCGAAATTTTCTCCAACATAGATGTCATAATTTAACATGACATCTAAGTCATTAGACTTCTTACTTGTTTTTTTATTTATTTTTAATAAACGATATTATCTACACTAAGAAGGAAATGTAAGCTTAACCACAATGGGCTGTTCAAATTTGTCTTTTGTAAGAATTAAACCTAAGACCTCTTACTTACAAGTGAATGATATCATAGACCATAGTTATGAATACGTGAGTTTTACATATATAAATCACTCACTTTTCTTGATGTGGGCTTTGTAAGACTTTTTCCTAAGTACATCTATATATATTTTCGAAATTCAAACTCAAAACATCTTAGTTTCAAATGAAAATAAGTATAATTAGACTGTAGTAGTAAATGGCACACTTCATACATTGTTGTATTGCGTATATTTACAAACGAGCTTTTACATTTATCGCATGACCAAACATCATAATTTAATAAAAATCAAACATTATAATGCATAAATTGATCCGATTTGAAAACGTAAACAAATTAAAACCTCAAGTTTGTATATTTTCAGAATCATCATCTCCAAATCCAAATCAACACCTTAGGGGGCGTTTGTTGCGTCGGACTATCTCAGACTGGATTAGCTTCAAGGACTAAGCTGGACTGGCTTAGACTAGACTAAATTGGACTAACTTAGTGAAGCGTTTGGTGCAGTATTGGACTAAGAAGCTGGATAATCACAAATTTTAATATTATATTATTTAATATATAAATTATTAATATTTTATTATGATCTTATCTTTTTCTCCATCTTTTCCTACCATTTCCGTCCCACTCTTTTCCTCTTCTCTCATCGTCCCACCCTCTCCCTCTTTTTTTCCTTTTAGACCTCTCAATTCATGTCTCTTTCTCATTCCTGGTCAAACTCCTTATTGATTCTAGTGTCTATTTCTCTGTCCTCCCTCCCTCTCTAGCTATGCGTTGTTCGAACGGAACTTCACGGCTCCAATTTTCCCGACGAGTTACAGGTTTCCTGATGTGTTTTCCGGCCAACCCTCATTAAATTGGATGAAGTTAGCACCGCCAAAAAATTCATCACCATCCCTGGACCGAGATCTTAGCTTTGAATGCTCGAATCTGTCATGGATTTGAAGAAGCCCAAACAAGCCGAGACTTCCAGGCTATTTTCCGGCCACATTCGACCACATTTTGGCCTCGATTCAAGTAAAATCGTAATCTTGTCACTCCCAGCTTCAATTTAGTATATTTTATATGAAAGTTGGTTATGAAATGGATCTGAAAGAGAGTCGGAAAGTTAATGATTGATCTAGGTGACCGGAGATGACGAGGAGTCTGTCGGGAGTGGTCGTTGAGCATGACGAGGACGAGAAAGAGTGGATAGTCTTAGCTAGTCCCATGGGTATTGGGGGGTCTCGCTAAGACCTCTTAGTGAAGGGTTTTGTCCATGCTAGTCCCCTTTAGTCTCATTAATGTTAGTCCCAGCATGGAACAAATACAGTATTGGACTAATAGCTAGTCCAGTCCAGTCCAGTCCAACTTAGTGAGGGCAAACAAACGTCACCTAAACGGGCCAAAGAAAAGAAAACCAAAAAGCCGAATAGGCGGTTTACCGTTTAGGTGTCCGTAAGAGGTGTCGAGTTCACTGTTAAACGTGGCAGCTTTCTCGCTCTCAAAGCAATCTCTCTCTGGTTTCCGTTCCACTGGAGCAATACTACAAACACTTGCGGTGCAGTTTGCAAATCTATAAAATCTGTGATGGCTTCGTGAGCTTTTGCTCCACTGTATTTTCCCCGCCGATGAGGAATGTCTTTGCCGCGCTCAAGCGCCACCGCCATGTCACTCTGCTAACCCAAAGTAAGCACCGCTCGCACGATCACCCCGTTTTCCCGCGTCTAGATTTTACTTATTGTCTGTTTGGTTCCTGAGAAAATGTGGGAAGAAAATCGCACTTGCCGTAATCCAATCCAATTTCTTATTTCCTAATTTCTCGATTTGTTTTGCTAATTATATCGAATTTGCTCACTTAGGTTACGTAATTGGATCAATAAGTTAGCTGTGATTGTTACATTCGTGGATTAAGCTATGAGTAATTCTGCGTATTGGGTTTTTTGTGCAGCTTTACGCCATGAAAAAAACGTGGAGACCGTAATACGAAAATGCATACCATTGGGTTACAATAACTATGTTGAAATTAGATGGAAGCAAGAAAAATTGTTTCCGCATCAATTGTTACAACGGAATTCGTAAGTTTATGAGTATTCTGTGTGTTCGGAATTCAAGGCATTTGTTTTGTGTTCTCTTGTTTGAAATCTGAAATGCTTCGTGTTCATCGGTTTATGCAGTATTTCCACCAGTGTGCATGGTGAAATGGCATCTGCAGAGTATGCAAAGTTGAGGAAGGAATCACTAGAAAGTGAATTCGGGCATGCTCTTGATGCAGGCTCCAAAAGTATTTCTGTTGTCTACCGTTTTGGTCCGTTTTTGGCATTGTATAGAGCTGCAATTATTTCATTTCATGTGGTGAAGCTCACGATCTGGCAATTCTTTGTCCATGACATAAAGAAACGTGCTGTCAAGGTAATCGACAGGATACATTTATTTATATATTTTACATGATATGGTGTTGCATGTGCTTTTACTTCTGCATTGATTTAGTGATGCTGGTGTGTAGTTAGATATACGTACTTCTCCTTTTATGATCCTAAATTTAGATATATATCTGAAATGGTTAATGTGATCTTGCAGTTTCGTGAAACTCTAATTCGCTTGGGACCTTTCTACATCAAGGTAAGCCACTTTCTTTGTTTTGAAATTTTCAAGATACCTTTTCTTTCCCTGATTGAGAGGTTAATGTCTAATGAATGTAATCTTATCTTATGTCATTCAGTTTCTTTCTAATTGTGCAATGCAAGATGTACCTAGTTTATCCAATTATGTTTGAACTTTGAATTCACAGCTCGGGCAGGCTTTGAGCACCAGACCAGACATACTGCCAACTATATACTGCCAAGAGCTTGTTAAGTTACAGGTTTAGCTTCTTTCTCACGCAGGCACCTATGATAATGGTTATGTGATTGAAGGTTATAGCTCTTGGTATTATAGATCTCTTTACTTATTCATCATCGAACCCTTTCCTAACAGGATCAAATACCCCCATTTCCATCGCGTGTTGCAATTAAATCTATTGAATCTCAGCTAGGTGCCCCCATTTCAAAACTTTTTGCCGACATCAGCCCAGAGCCTATTGCAGCAGCATCCCTAGGGCAGGTCTATAAAGGTTAGAGAGCTCCATTTTAATGTCATGCTCTTTTTCTTGGTGGGAAATTTTTTTTCCTTTGATTTAGTGGCGCGTCTCCCATGGATGTT